TGAGTGGGAAGGAAGAACACCTAAGATTTCTAAGGGTCCCTTTTGGGGGGGAAGCCAGCCCATTTATGTTGGGGGGAACCTTGCAGCACCATTATGAGAAATTTACTAACACAGAGCTAGCCAGTACCCTAGAAATGCTCAGAGAAAATACATATGTAGACAATCTGATGTGTACAGGAATGAGCATTGAAGAGCTTCAAAGATTTAAAGGAGAGGCATCTGAAATACTAGAGGACGCAAAGTTTCAAATTCATAAATGGGAATCCAACATAGAAAGCCTAGAAAGTGAAAATATGGAGAATCCAAGCAAGATTTTGGGGCATGTTTGGAACAAGGAAGAAGATACTTTGATGGTACCCATAAACAAAGGGGAAGAGGATAAGGTCTCAAAGAACACTGTATTGAGTCAATTAGCCAGAATTTATGACCCCTTGGGAATCATTTCACCAACCCTAGTAGAAGGAAAGAGAATCTTCAGGGAGGCCTGTGATGAGAACAAGGGAGGGGATGCTGAAGTTTCTGAACCCCTTATGAAAGATTATTTGAGATGGATGAGACAGCTGAGAGAATTAAAGATACCAAGAACTTTAGTAAGAGAAATAAGAGCAGTTGATGCAGTGAATTTACACATATTTGCAGATGCAAGTGAAAAGGCATGCTGTGCTGTGACAATTGCAGTAGTGGAACAAGGATCAAGGAAAGTAAAGGGCTTACTCACTTCAAAGTCAAGAATTTCAAAGAGAAACACTTCGATAGCCAGACTTGAGTTGGTTGGGGGGCAAATGGCAGCAAACATGGCCAAGAACATTTGCAAAGCATTGAAGAATTGGCCAATAACATCAATCAATGTGTGGATGGATAGTATGGTGGCCTTATTTTGGATAAACAATCCAGGGAAACAATGGAAAGCATTTGTAGCGAACAGGGTGAGAAAGATTACAGAGATAGGGAATGAAATTGGAATAGAGTGGAAATACTGCCCATCAAGTGAAAATTTAGCAGACCTAGGCAGTCGGGGTGCGAACATAGAGAAAATGGTAGAAAAGAAGTGGTTTGAAGGGCCAGACTGGCTGCTAAATGAAGAAGAATGGCCAGAACAACCAGTGCTGAAGAGTTCAACAAGAAACTTGGAAGAACAAAGACCAATTAAAGAGGCAATCTTATTCACAAACGAGACAGAGAGTGATGAATGGGATAAGCTTTTAGAGCGTCAAAGCTATTGGAGAACACTTAGAACCACATCATGGTGTTTGAGATTTATCAAAAATTGTCTTGCCAAGAAGAGAAAGGAGAAGGTAACAAGAGGACCTCTGACCACAGAGGAAATTATGAGTGCAAGAGATCATTGGGTAGTAAGAGAACAAAGATACATTATAGAGATGAAAGAAACACCTGGATGGAAATTGATAAGAGACGAGAAAACAGGTATGCTTCGATGCCAGGGAAGGATTCAAGGGTATCAACCAATCTATTTGGAGAAGAGTCTCTTTACTGAGAAACTGATTCGACACACACACAGGAAAGTTATGCATATGGGAGTAGCAAATACAATGGGAGCACTGAGAGAGACATGGTGGATACCAAAGATGAGAACATTGGTCAAGAGAGAAATCAGGAATTGCAATGTGTGCAAAGTATTTTCTGCAAAACCATTTGAAGCACCAGCAACAGCTGCGCTCCCAATGTTTCGTACAGTTCAGAGCCTGCCATTCCAGAACACAGGTGTTGACTTTGCCGGGCCTCTCAAGTGAAGGGGGAGTACAAGCAAAGAAGAGATCAAAGTTTACGTGATTATTTTCACTTGTGCTGTGATGAGAGCAGTTCATTTAGAGGTAACAAGGTCACAAACTGCTGAAGAATTTCAGAGGAAGTTAAATGCGTTCATTACAAGGAAAATGAGACCAGAGGTCATAGTCTCTGACAACGCAAGTGTTTTCAAGACAACAGCTGAGTGGATAAAATTGATACGAAAAAGTGAAAAATTGCAAGACCATTTGGCAACTCTAGGCATCACTTGGAGGTTCAACTTGTCGAAAAGTCCCTGGTGGGGGGCGATGTATGAAAGATTAATTAAGGATTTAAAGAAGACATTGTACAAAACCCTTGGAAAAACGCATTTGCAATTTGAACAACTGGAAGCAGTCATCATGGACATAGAGAGGCATTTGAATAACAGGCCATTGACATATGTAGAAAGTGAAAGTGGGGAGGAGCAAGTGCTAACACCTAACAAAATCATGTGGGGGAAGGATTCACATACATTTGAAGATGTGGAGGTAGACGAAGAAAGAGTGACCAAGATGTATAAGAGATTGAAGAATGCGAAAGAGCACGTGTGGTCACGTTAGAACAAAGAGTATATCAACAGTTTAATGGAAGTGCATCGTATTAACAGAAAGAAGAGTGCATGTCTGCCACGGATCGGAGAAGTAGTACTAGTTGTTGGTGATGAAAGAAATAAAGGGCAGTGGAAGAAAGCGAGAGTAGAAGAGCTTGTGAAAGGAAGAGACGACGTAGTCAGGGGAGTGCTTTTGAGACACAAAGGACATCTCATAGAGCGACCGGTTCAAGCTATCTGTCCATTGGAGATTGGTTGTCAAGCGAAGGAGTCACAGACAGTGGAAACAATCAAAGGAGCAACTGATGACAAAGTCAATGTGATAACAGTTGAAACAATCAACGGAGCAATCGATGCCAAGGCCAATGTGACAACAAGAGAGAAGAGAAGAGCTGCGGTGGATGCAGAAGTGAAGACGAGACTTTGTTTGGAAGAAGATTGAAGAGGACAACTGCGTACCGTAAAGGTTTGATAAAATTTGACTCAGGTATGTTACTTTACTCAAATTTTAGGGGAGTTTGTGTACGGTACTTTATTATTATCATTCGTTATGTTGATTAGTAGTGGACATTTTAGGACAGTTTAGGACAGTAGAGAACTGGGACCGAGTTTCAGTTATTTTTTAGTTAGATCTTCGAGAGCACGAGACAAGATGGCGAATCTTAGAGTTTAGCGATTTGTGTGCGGCACATTTCCGTACAATCCCTCTAAGCAATGCCTGCTGAAATTCAAGCTGAGCTAGAGGAAGGCACGATAGATCCTGAGCTAACTCTCCTCTCTCTTCCTAATTGTCCGCACGTTTTGAAGACATGCAAAGAAAGTTTGCCAATTGGCCTCTGCATCTTTCCAACGAGTGAGGAAACGTCTCTCTATTACTTACACTCCGTAACAAAGCTGATCCAAATGTGCAAAAAAAAATGAAGCAGTTACTACCAGATACCACTATGTTCGTAACTGTGATAAGACTCCTGCTTTGTTCCTAAGTGATCCAAAGCTTTGTGACTATAGGGTGTTTTCGTGTGACGTCATGCGTGTGTGCTTTTTGTAAGTCCGCCATCTTGGAGGACAACTTGTAGGATTCGACCAGCAGGAATATTTGTTGATATAAAAATAATTCTTTAGTTACTTGTTGACAAACTAATTGAACCTCATTCAAATAAAGATTAGGAGGTAATGGTTAATTTATGGGATGTTTTGGAATGCTCAAATCGTTCTAATAGGGAGTAAAAAAGTTTTTATCGGATACCAAAGATTCTCGAACATGGCAACCGACAAACGCGTGCTCTTTCCAGTGAACGAAGAAAGGAGTGGATTCTAAGGATCAATCGAAAAGATTCGGATTTATCAGCCTCACATTATCGTATTTGCTCAGATCATTTCGTTTCAGGTAAATTTTCAATTTCATTGAGATTTAAAATAAATAGGCCATATGAACAGAAGTATCACACCGCCCTATCCTGTTCACTTTGTTGTATTACACGCTTTTTTTATAAGGAACCTACCATAAGGCCTAGTTCTAAAAGTTTCTTATTCGTAGACCAGACTATGCGGAAACTACCCAATGAAGCACTTGACACACGAATAGCAAACAATCTATGCGAGTATTGGCTGTAAATGAATGGAACGGACTTTTTAGCTCTTGATGCTTGCAGTTATAAAATATTTTCTAATCGAAAAGTTCCTTAGGGATTTCGTTCTTAGTAGTATAAGTTCTTTATATATTTCGGCCTTCTACCTGTAGGTTCCTTATTGTTGGGAAACTATGCTTATTTAAAATACGTTAAGCGTTAACAATCATTTGTTAACGCTTAACGTATTTTAAATAGTGTCACGAAGACCGCAAACAGAGTGAAAGAATTGGTAGAGGACAGCGAGTCTATCGAAGAGGAACATTGGAATATTTAAAAGCCGAGCTTATAGAGAAAGAAACGGAGATAAAAATGAGTGATGAAGAAATTTTGGAATTGCTTTTAGAGTATGTTGAAGAGGAAGAGCAATTGGATAAAGAAATGGACAAAGTTGGAGAGCACAAGAAGAAGATTTTGAATGCTATTTGTTCGATAAACTGCCTTTCAAATACCAAAGAAGAACCAAAGAACAGCATCGCGAGGAGTGTATTGAAGGACAGTTTAAGTTCGGAAGTATAAAGTTTGTCCCCAGGTTCGAGAAATGTCACAAGAAAAACCGTTGTGAAACTGCCTAAATTGGAATTACGAAAATTCACGGGGAAAATACACAAGTGGCCAGAATTCTGGGATGGTTTTCAAAGTGTCTACGAGAATCCAGAATTGGCAGCGTGTGATAAGTTTAAATATTTGAAGAGTTTTTTAGAAGAATCTGCACGTAAAGTGGTAACAGGAATGCCCATGACAGACGAAAATTATGACATCACTGTCAACCTTCTAAAGAAAATATTTGGCAAACAGGAAGTAATACAGCAGACCCACATTAGCCACCTCCTGGGGCTCCACCCTGTTTACAACGACAAAGCCGTCAGCTGATTGCGCAATCTGCACGACGAAATCGAGACACATTATCGCGGGCTCGAGGCTCTTGGTGTCAACACTTCCTAGATTTCTGCAGTTGTCGTGCCAACGCTTCTTGAAAAGGTACCGGAAAATATCAGGGGTCAGATGATTAGGAGTTCGGACAAGAATTATTTGAAGTGGACGATGGATGAATTACTATGTGTCTTTGAAAAAGAAATCTCGATAAAGGAGTGCCAAATGCTTCTGGGAAGTTTGGGGGGGCGGAAAGGATTTGACAAGCCGAGCGAATAACAACAACATTAGGCCCAGAAGCAACTTCAACAAGGAGGGAACTGCCTCGTCGCTACTGGTTGGCGAAAAGGCAAACAGTTGTGTTTTCTGAAAACCGGAATAATGTGCTAAGAAGATATGCAAGAAGCTTTGTATGTTTGAAATCTTGTCATCGAGCATTCAGTTGCCGTCATAAGAATAACTGTAGAATAGGCAATGGCCTACATCACGTAGCAATTTGTCATAATGTTAGTAACATAGATAGGCCAAGCAAAGTAGTGTGCAAGTTAACGCAGAAAAGCCCAATGCACCCCTGCTTAACCCCACTGCAGCATCTTGGGTGAGAAGTACCGGTAGCAGAGGGGATGTAGCCTTACAGACAGCTTCAGCAAATGTGAACGGAGAGAGTGTGAGACTTTTGTATGACTCAGGTAGCCATAAATCCTTTGTAACTGCAGAAGCTGTCAATAGGTTAGGATTAAGAGTGACGAGAGAAGAGAAAAAAGGAATTAAGCCATTTGGGACCGTGAGTGCAGAATTTGAGGTAAAAGATGTGGTGATTGTACCTATGGTATCTTTTGATGGAAAGAGGAAGATTGATATTGAATGTTTTGTTGTAAGTAACATTTCTCACATTAAGAATGTTCACCCAGAAGTTGTCAAGAAATCTTATACCCATTTGCATAACATATGGTTTTCAGATATTTATAGGTTGGAATCATTAACAATTGACGTTTTAGTTGGCTCAGACTGGCTATGGAGTTTTATGGATGGTGAAGTCAAACAAGGGGGGGGGGCAGGTGAATCTGTAGCCATCAAGACTGCAATGGGATGGGTGCTGTCAGGCCCATTACAAGGTAAGAAATCAGAGTCAAATGTCAACTTTATATCTGAATCACCAATTTTGCTTTTGAAATGTGACAGATCTGCATTAGAAGATAAAATTCAGAAGTTGTGGGACCTTGAAACAATTGGAATTCGTGAAAGAAATGAAGTAAATGAGACCTTGTTAGATAACATCACTTTCAATGGCGAACGATACTCTGTTGGTCTACCATAGAAGTCAGGTAATAAAGTTTTAACTACAAACTTTGACAATGCTTTAGCCAGATTTAACAGCATTATTAGAAAACTTAAGAAAGACCCTTCTACACGGCAAAAATATGATGATATAATAAAAGAGCAGGTTGAATTAGGTATTGTTGAACAAGTATCAGAAATGGATGTCACTGAACAGGGGCGGATCCAGCGTCTGCGTTTGGGGAGGGCCATTTATGAAAGAAGAGGAGGCCTGCGAAAATTTCACAGACACGCCCTTCAAAGTCTCACCGAACGCGGGAAACGCCCCTTTCTATCAAAAAATTTCATAAGAAGGTACACTCTCAGAACACTGAAAATTAAGAAACTTCATTGCTGCGAGAAACTTCCAAGCGAAGTAAAGGCTAAAATACATGATGAAAAATTGATGAACTTTGGCTAATCGTGTAAACACGCGCTTCTTTAGTTAAACTGATGAAAAACGGATATAGAAATAACTTTGGGGAAAACTGACATAAAAAACTGATCGTGTATTTCAGCCTTTACAAATATTCATATTGAATATTTGGTCAGCAGCTTTCGCGCTTGACTTGGGAGGGGAACTATGACGCATCAGAGTTCGTGAATGACATTATAATTCCTGTGTTCAAGAAGCCGGCATAAGACACGTACCCTTAAGATGAAAAAAAGATTTAGAAAATGAGCAAAAGTCCCCACGTATTTGGTGCGTATAATTTGAATGGTAAATTTTCAAAATGGGTAGTCACCAAAAATTCATCGCAGCATAACAGGCAAAGCTGAGTAGTTATAGGTACTGTTTTGCTTTTGTTGGAAATAGTGACGCTTTTTGGGTATCACAATCGCAATAACACGATGAACAATGTTTGAACTGTAACCCATTTTAGCCATAACTTTCTCAACCATTAACGTTTGCAGACGTCATTCATTCATGATCGCAGTCATGATTTGTGTTAAACCATAGTCCATATGAGCCGCGAGATCCGGTCACATCTAATTTTGCATTGAACTATTGTTTTAGGCTTATCATAATTCTTGTGTTACACATCCACTTGCAACTTATTGCCTCACTGAAAGCGAGAGAATAAAGCCGACTGGAGGTTTGATTAAAATGTCTGGTCCGCCAAAGAAATCAAGAACTCTTGAATCATTCTTCTCAAAAAGTAGCCGCACCAGTTCAGTTGGAGATAACCCT